CACAAATCTGGGACTTTTTCAGGAGGCTGCTGGAAGAGAAGCTGCACAGAAGGCTGGTGACATCTTGTCATTTCCTGGGGAGGCCCACCTGAGCCCACAGTGGGGAAAGAGGAGTCTGGGAGGGAAAGAGGCATGTCCCAGCAGCATCATTTGCAGCCCTGGGATGTGGGAGGCCCCATGTGATCATGACAATATTAATTGCCACCATTAGCAAGTCCTGGCAGGGACCTTGTGCAGGTGCCTTATGTGGGTGACTGTACTCAATCCCCACAGCACCCTTTGGGGTGGGCATAACTGCCATCATCCCCACTTTGAAGGTCTGGAAGTCAGGGCTCAGAGAATTCAAAGGACTCCCCTAAGATCACAGCTAGCATAGACAGAACTTGACGCCAGGTCTGCCCACTCCGAAATCGGAGCTTCCAGCCATTGTTCTGAGGCTACCTGGAAATTGCAGGCACGGGACTATGTCAGTTTCTTATTTCCATCTCATTTTGATTATAAAAGCAAAGAGTAGGGAAATGATTTGCTTATTCACATTTACCTGTGAATCAGGTGCCTTTGAGAGATAGTTTGAAAAAGAAAAGAATAAACTCATGCCCAGGTGTGGGGATGCTTGTTTTGCACAGGGACCCATCTCTCCAGCCCACTCGGTGTGGAGGACAGTTCACACTTTATTGGGACTCCAAGACAGTCTTGACATGGACCTCACAATTCATTCAACCCCAGTCATCTGAGAGCAGACAGCCCCCTTCTGGAGATGAATTCTGAAGCTGCCAGGCAGCCCCTCCCCTCTGGTCAACAGGGAGCAGCAGCTGGAACCATCCCCTACAGCAGGAGACAGTGCTGAGGGGTGGCCTCTGGTCAGCTTTGGGGTGGTTTCTCCCCAGGGGCCTCCCTTGGAGTTGACTGTTATATGCATCAGCCACTCTTCCCAGAGGTTCTGGGATAGGGGAGGGTGGTAGGCAGGTGGCAGATGGTCTGAGGAAGTAACCTGCTCTCTCTCCATGTAACTGGCATGATGAGGGCTGCCATGGGGGCATAATCAGACAGGCTCTCTGCCCAGACATGCTTGGAAATAAGGGGGAGGGGCTTCCTTAATTTCCCCTCTGAGCATCAGAAAATCAGCACTCATAGATAGGGGCAGGGAGGGATGTCATCTCTTTCTGATGTCTAATATGTGAGAAGTTCTTTTAGACAGCAACAAAGGGACTGGTTCTCAAAGAACTGTAACATATTAAAAATGTATAATTATACTGCACACTAACCCCTTCCTCTGGTTTCTGATATCAATTTCCAGCTCCTCCTCACAGAGGCAGTGGTGCAGAACTTCAGCAAATGAATGGCATGCTGGTTTCTGGGCCAATTCTTAGTCCTTTGAAACCTGATCTATTTCACCTGCACAAGGACCTGTGACTGCATCTCTCCAAAGAGAACTCCCAGGCCCAGTGATTGGCACGCTATTTATGCACTTGTTCAAAATGCGATCTTTGGATTCCAAGTCTTTGTCAGTTGTTTCCATGAGAAGCACTTCCTGCGGTTTATTTCATTCTGCACCTTGCAGGTGGATCACCCTCCCTGGGCTTGAGGGCTCTCTGACCTTTGGGTCTAGCTTCTTGGGCAGCTGCAGAGAGAGTCAGGCCCAGGCGCAGCCTGTCATCCTAGGATCTCCATGAGTACTATACAGGGTAGCACCTTCCCCAGAAACTCTGAGTCTACTTGAACTAACAGTCCTTGGGTGCTGCTGGTGAGGCTGATGCTATGCTGCATATGTTGCCTTCTATTATTTTCATGTTACAGAAGTCATTCTCATTGATTAAATATTTTTGCCCAATATCACACAGAGCTGGGTAGTAGCACATCAGAGACTAGAACTCAGATCTCTCTAGCATCAAATATTCTTCACCAGCAACTCTGGCACCTTCTGTTGCTTCCAACAGGTAAGGCCCAGATAATCCTAGGTGTGCCTACAGCTACCTGTGTGAGCCTGAATATATTGCTTTTCTTCTCTAAGTTTCAGTCAAATAAGCAGATGGACTGGACCATCACTGAAGTCCTCCCAATCCCCCACAGTCCAGATTCATTTATTCCTGTAATAAATATTTAAGAGCCTACTATGTGCCAGGCATTGTTGTAGCCACAGGGAATACAGCAGTGGGCATGCTCTCCTAGAATTAAAATTGAGGAGGGGAAACAGACAATGAATAGTCATATAAAAAATCTGAGTCATTTTCCTTTCTCCTTTCCCTAAACATGGAAATCATCGAGAAAGATCATCGGGAGTTCCAAGGGAAGAAGGAGCAGTGCAGAAGGAGAGGAGGCTGGCACCACAAACAGGAATCCCAGGGTGCAACTGAGCCTCAAGCACCAGCTGGTGCTGGACACTTCTGGAGAGGTGGGAGGACAGAGGAGACTCTTTAGGTTTGTTTTCATGCCATGTATCTCCAGGAAGATTTGGACAGTTTATGGTAAATAATACAAAGTCCACAAAGCCATTAAAAAGAAAAAAAAATGTCTCAGAGCTTTGTAACATGAACTAAAGATTTACCCCAGCAAATCTTGGCTGAAGACAATGCCTACAACTGAGCATATAATTTAACTCCGAGCTCCCTGGCAACCAAAGAAAAGAGTAAACACAATAAGTTATGAATAAACTTTTTATCTATTGACAAGAATTTTATCACTTCATCCAGAAAGACTAATTTTTTCACATCTAACATGCAGAGCCCATCTTAGGAATAGATTTTTTTCTCTCTGAATGTCCTTGGAAATTTCTGTTTGTTCCCAGGATTATGAAACTTCTTGAGATGCTTCTTTGTCTTCTATTTTCATCTATTGTGATTTGTGACGGACAATTTAACAGCCTTTCAGTCTGGAAACATGTGTGTTTAAATTGTAGGAAATTTTCCTGAAATTTTTAAAAAATAAATTGAGCCCCTCTATTTGCTCTTTCTGGGACTCTTATTTTTTGGCTGTTTGACCTCCCCAGATTGATGCCCTGTTTTCATTATTTTTTTCTCACCTATTTTCTGTCTTTTTGTCTTTTTGCTCTGCTTTTTTGAGGTACTGCCTCCATTTTATTTTCCAAATTTTCTACCGATTACATTACATTTCTATGTAATGTAATTGCATTACATTTCTAATAGTGTATTTTTTCAACACAAATGCTAGCCTCCCATGCACACCATACTGCACCTTGCTTTCTGCATAAACAGAACATCCTGGAGATGGTTCTGAAGCAATTGACAGAGTGTTGCCACCTCCTCTTTCATGGAGAGAGAGTGTTTCATCGTATGTGTCCAAATTGACTGAACAAAGTGGGTTGTGTTCTGAAGGACGACAGGCATAAACTAATGGAAGGGGTTCCTGGGATCTAAGCAGAGGAGTGAACTGGTGGGAAGATGAGGTGATGTGGGACAGCCAGGGACATTGCAAGGCAGAGCAGGTGCCATGGTGGGCAGCGCAGAGGAGTGCATATGTAGTATGTGTGTGTGTTAGGGAAGACCATGACCCAAGAGTGTCAAATGAAGGACAGATCACTTTTACAAGGGATTTTGACTGAAAACTGTAGACTTCAAGCAGAGGAGGAGCATGATGACTTCAGTTCTTCAAAAGTCCCTTCTGTCCAAAACATGGATGATAGACCAGGAGGGGATAAGGCTCGGGTCAGGGAGGACAGTGAAATGGTTGTCCCACGAAGTCATGGGTGGTGGCAGGTTACGGATGAGCAGAGAGCACAGGCAGAGAGGCTGCGACGGAGGCAGGGGACGTCCAGTCTGTGGCCGTGTGGAGGAAGCGAGGGAAAAGAAGTCTAGAATGACACCGCAGTGTGGGCCTGGCTGACTCAGTGGGCACTGTCTCCTTTCACAGGATGGTGGGTCATTCTGGGCAAAATGACAAGGTCAGGTTGGGACCTGGTGAGTCTGAAATATGTATGGGACATCCAAATAGAGATGTCTTACCTTACAGGGGTCTGAGTCTTGACTGAGAGGCGTGGGCTGATGTTGTAGATTCATGGGGACAATGGTGGAAACCGTCATTTGCCCCTGGCCACCTCGGCTTCGGTCCTCCGTGCACCCCTTCCTCCCACCGCACCCCTCTGCTCCCGAACGCACCCAGCAGGCACCTGCCTCGGGATCCCTGGACCTGCTGCCCCGTTTGCCAGGCGCACGCCCCAGCCCAGGCCTTCACGTGGGCCACCTCCCTGTGCCATTCAGTGTCTGGTCACCCCTGTCACCCTCTGGTCACCTTAATCCAGTTAAATCCTTTCCTAGCCTTACTCCCGTCAGCTTTGCCTCGCTTTGTTTCACTGCCCAGTGCTGACTGGCATTCGACCCTGTGGTCCGCGTAACCATTCGTTTATTTGTCACTCATTCCTTGCTCTGCCTCCCTTCTTCCCCACATGGGAATGTAAGTGCCACCAGAGGAGAGACTACTGTCACTACGGTCCCCGCGGGGCCTGCCACGACGCTCCCTGGCAAACAGCTGGGCATCACAGGGCGTTGGGAGAAGGCACAGAAGAGGCCATGAGAGAAACACGGGACGCCGGGGCAGCTGGGGCCTCTGAAGGTGTCAGGGAGGAGAGAAGGGACAGTTACCTCAGCTTCCAGTGAGGCGACGAAAAAGCGAAGAGCAGAGGAGTAGGAGGGTCACCGGCCGCTTCGGCCATGGCGACGACAGCGGGCAGCGGCGGCGGGAAAAGAGCGGGAACTGTGAGGTGAGTGCGAGGACCCGGAAATTGGGAATGACAGGATACAGACGGGACAGCGGCTGGAGCGGACCAAGAGTTTTTGGTTTTTCTCGAATCGTTGTCTGTTGGTTTGGGGGTACAGACGGGAAGACGAAGGCTGAAGGGTGGCCTGGAGGGGCCACATCTTGCGTGAGGGCGGCTGCGCGCGGGCTCCGCCTCCTCCTCCCCTCCCCCACCTCCCGGGCGGCCGCCCACGGGCTTCCGGCTCAGCCTCGCCTCCCGCTGCCCTGGCTTCCTCACGTACTTTCCTCACATAAAAAATAAAAATAAAGAAAATTTAAAAAAGCCCCGGCTTTCCTCACATAAAAAGCGGCCTCCGTGAGTGTCTCTTTTAGTGTCTTGCATGTAGCAGTTGGTAGCGGAACTGAGTTTTCGCGCTGCTTGAGGGCCGCCTCTCTCTCCTCACACTTTGGAACAGCCGGAAGTCCTGCCTGGCCGGACCACGGCTTGGCCTTCCTTCAGCGGCGTCAGGTGCCGCGCGTCGTGGCTGTGGGGACGCGGGCGCCTCTTGCTGGTCCAGGCCAACGCGGCCAGGGGAGGTTGGAAGCGGAGGCCGCGACACCAGGCCAGTGCCACGCGTGACGGACCCTGCCCGGCCCAGTGACCAGTGAGCGCCGGCGCCGTCCGTGTCCCCGTCTGTTCTCAGCGTCGTCTGCGGGACACACAGACACAGACAGAAGGGAAATCGGAGGCAGCCCAGCGAGGCGACGCAGGAATGCAGCCCTCAGGCTGGGGAACCCGGGCCCAGAGCTGCTGGGAGCAGACAGGAGGGCCACAGCGGGTTGTGTCGTGCCAGACAAGCGAGTGTAGACGACAAGAGAACAAAGCACCACAGAGAGGACAGCTCTGAAGATGGTGATAAAAATCGTATTTGAGAAGGAGAGTCCACAATAGAGATGGAGTAAAACTGATACTCCAAAAAACAAAAACAAAACAAAAACCCCTGTAGAATAAACTGCAAATGAGCCGTGGAACAGAACTCCCACGCCAGGAAAGTATGGCAGGAGAGGGCCGGAGGTGAGTACAGGTAAGCAGACCAAGGTAAAGCCATGTCGTTTTTCAAACACTATTTTAAAACGTATTTTTTGATGTTGTTGAAAGGAATGATGTGCAGGATAAGATGAAAATAATGGTATATATAGGTCCAGATTAATTTGTCATAGGCTGTGTGTGTGGGGGGGGAGCAGGGACAGTAGGAAAATCTCCAAATGCACCATTTTCCTTGTAGAAGGATATTACAAAGCTTGTTTCTTTGCTGTCTTGGACCGTTTCCCTTAAGTTTAAGAATGCACTCTTCATGTAACAATGACTAGATTAAAAGAATATTTGCCTTACAAATCACTACTGAAGTCTATGCAGCAAAAGAAAAAGGGGAAAAAGAAAACGCCACCCAAACAAAACAACATAGGATAGAAAGGAAACAACCAGAAAGCAAACAAAAGAGCATAAAACGAGATGACAGGAGCAAAACCAAATAGAAATAATGATGAGTATAAATGGGTTAATTCTGCAAGTAAAATGAAAAAAATTGAATTGAAAACACAGAATCCCGGGACAGGCTGCTTATGAGTCAGGCCTACAACATGATGACAAAGGGAAAGGTAATTCAAGGCAACCATGTAGCATCAGGTAAGTGAGAACCAAAAGGGAAGTGAGGAAGGACGAGTTAGTATCAGCCAAAGAGTTCAAAGGGAAAACCATCCCTGGGAAGGCAGGAGGTCAGCTGCTTTGATTGATAAGACAGGCAATCAACACCCGCTCCCCAGGGGATCTCTTCCACACTCCCACAGTTAATTATCATCTATATGCTAATGACCCCGGATTTACATCTCAGGCCCAGATCCAATTGCTGCCTCTATATCCCAGGTCCAGATATCTGCTTACCACCTCTTCCTGGGGGGAAGCTTCCCATTTCTGCCTGACTCAAGTTCCTGCAAGAGTGACCGACAGTCCAGTTTGCCCAGGGCTGAAGGATTTCAAGGGGCATGAGATGTTCAGTGATAATCTGGGACAGTCCCAGGAAGACCCAGATGGTTGGTCAGCCCGAGTCCCTCTTGTCCCAGAGAATAGGACATCCTGTTGCTCTGCTCGATGCTGCTAGGCACAGACTGTAATTCCAGGCCATTTCCATTTCCTTTATCTCCTGGTACAAGGAGGGCAAAAACTGTGTTTGGGGTTATTTGCCTTTGTATTCACACCCTTGCCCACAGTGTCTGCCACTGACTGAATCAGTATTGGTAGAATAAAAGAATAAATGAATAGATTTCCTCCACACTCGAGGGCCCAGAAAGTCTGATCTCTATAGAATGATGAACCCAGGGGAATGCTGAGAAATCATCTGGGTAAGGGGGTGGAAAGAGAAGTTTTAGCAGGGGCTTCTCAATACTTGGGAGATAGGAAGGGACCAAGGAACAAACTCCAGAGGTGCAACTGTTGCTCCCTGGGGCACCACATCTGGATTAATGTCTGCCAGCATCTTTGGAGGCCTTACCTTCCCCTTCCTCATTCATTGCCACCAGCTAGAAATGGGGGTGCCCCTGAATAAAGAAACCTACCAAGGTTTACATTTGCACCTTACCCTTAGTAGCCAGGAACGCTAGAGAAGCAGCTAGCCGAACTCATCTACAACCTTCTGACTCTCGGATGAAGAATGGTTTTAACCCGGAATTATGATTGAGCTGTTAACTCTGAAATGTATTTGGGAAACAGGCCAAGCGTAATAGTCAAGGCCCTTCATGTGCTACAAAACAACATCAGAATGTGCAACTTCCAAATAATTTGCTTGTTTAAATACATTTACAAAATAGTTTAAAATGACAAAATGTGTGTGTGTGTGTGGTGTTTCCTTTGGCCACCTTCTCTACAAGGACTGTTCAGGGATGCCTCTATCTCCTCAAAGCACCCCCGTAGGCTTTTAGTTGTCTGCAACCATTAGTTTTCTTCACAAAATGTTAAATTTTGCAATGCATTTTGGTTCCCCAAGATCTTGATCTTGGAATTCCTTCAACTTTGCTGAGTAAGTTTGGATTCCGAAAATAAATTAAAATAGATTCACCATTTATTACTGAGTAAAAACGTTTTTCTTCTTGATGTAGGAATCGCTCATGTTGGTACCATTTAGAGAAACACTTTCTTTTCCCTAAATATTTATTAACGAAATATTTTTATCGGCCAAACATGCCTTCTAAATATTTACTTCTTTGGGACACTTTTGGAAAGTTCTGTTTATGAAATCGCTAGGAGAAAGTGAGAGCAACTCTTACTTCACAGGACTAGGGTAATTTTAAAACAACAGTGAATACTTGTTTGGCTTTGCTGGGAAATAATAGATTTGATTCAGTCATGTTTTGTGTGGTTCTAATGTTGAAAACACTTATCCAAGAATAGATACATATGAATTTTCTGCAAGGGGGGGACTTAGCTGTAGCAGTCCCAAACAGGAGTGTGAAGCCTGAGAGTTACAGATGGGACCCCTGTTTTTGGTTCACAGCTGGTGAAGGCCAACAGACATGCCCATTGTCCCCATCACTAGACAACAGGGCACACACAAACACACTCTCACATGTCCTCACATATCCAGGACAATTCCTTGGTTTCCTCTCCACCTTTCCAGAGCGTTTACCATTCCTAACTGTCTACCTGTGTCCCCATTTTGGTCGAGCAGCATAGTTTCTCTGCCACAGCACAACTAAAACACCCCCTGAATTTTATATTATATTATATTTAAATATTTAGGCAGTTTTCTGACAGCATGTAGCAGATTCTTCCCAGTTTTTGGCTAAGAAACTGTGATCCAACATAACTGGTGCTTTTCAGCACTTAGTAAGAAAGAATGGGTTTTCCCAAGCAAGTTTGCACACAAATCTCCTTGGAGAGGTGGACCCAAGTTTTGAGTATATAGTTAGTGTGCAAAATAAATGCCACCTTTTTTGCTGGGGGTGTTGGAGAGGGAGTGTATTACTTAAAAGTGGTGGTTATTTTATTATACACTTATGCCAGCTCTTCTCAATTGGGGTGTTGCAGTGTACAGGTGTTTTCTACATGGTTGGTGTATTACTCCAAGTAATTAAAACAAATTAGAGCTGTTACCTCCCTGATGGCATCCTTACTTGCTTGCATTTGTGTGGTTTATTGGATGAAGGAGAAGGTTTGGAGTGACTGACAGCTAGCAGGCAGGAGCTTGCCCCTGTGTCCCGGCAAACTCCCCAGGACTATGTCGAACCTGTGAGCATCATCTGGTCACTTGTGGCTTACGGAACTTTTTGCATTATGTCACTTGTTTTCAAAAAACACTTCCAGCTCTTTCCTTTCTCTCTAAAGTGAAAGAGACAGTTCTGGGAAAGGCGTTCTATATCTGGAAATGGAAATCTTTAAGTAGAGATAATGGAAATAGTTTATCACAGATTCACGTTTTCCTAAGAGTTTTGATGTACTTTATAAAACTAAATTATTTGTGCTGATAGAAGAGGTAATGATAATGCAAAATGGGCCCACAACCTAATGGTCTTTATTTTTAGCTTTAGAGTGTGTGTCTGTGTGTCTCCAACCAATCGCCCTGCCCAGTTCTGTTTTCTTAGGCCAGTATTATGCTAAGTGTGAATGCTCATTTGTGGTGAGCAAACTCCAGCTAATCTTGGGAAATGTCTCCCAAATTGCTAAAAAGGAAGCCCAGAACTTAGTATTTATTGTCATAATCCACAAATTGGATAATCTGTATGCCCTCTATTGAGTATTGGTTAAAAACAAAACAAAACAAAACCCAACACTGTGTCCAAGTAAACAGAGATATAATAATTTATCAAGGTATTAATAAGAATTGATGTCACCAAGATTTAGTGACACTGACCTCCTAATAGATTGGCCGTGATTATTCATCCTGCTGGAAAATATGTTCTCCAGATGTCTGTGGGAGTTAGTCTAAAATTCAATTTTCTTTGAATAGCAATTTTATCTTTAAAATTCACCTGGTAATTATTCTTGAACTGCTGTATGCTAACCACCCAGTTGTTACCTTTAACTGTTATTAAGAATTTTAATTATTCTACTTTTAGCATGTGTGTTTTTTATCTTTTCAATTATAGTGACTATATCTTTTACTGTCTAGAGCCATCTGTTTTGCCAAAAACATGGTCCATGTAGAGTATATACAGTTCAATACATTTTAATTCAGTTTGTTGCCCTTGTCTCAGAAAGAGCAACAGAAACAGATTTTAAGATCACAAGTTCATAGAACTCTTGGAGGTCGCCTGTGGCAACACCCTCAGAGTCTGAGTCCCTTTTCCCACCTCCCTGGCCAGCCTCAGATTTCACTCCTGCAGAGGTGAGAGTTTCCTTAGTCCCTGGTGGTCTGGGCATGTTAGAGGCAGCTGTCACCAGCTTTGACCAGATGTTCACCTCCCTGAGACTGCTAGCATCGGGGCTGTGTCTGACTGACTCCTGGGCATATACAAAACTATGACCTCCTTCTTCTGATGAGAGCCCTTTTCCTGCTTGAGGGGAGGCATCATCACCTCCCCACATCCTTTCTGTCCTGGGCTCACTGAAGACCAGGTTGTCTTGCCCACCCTGTTTGAAATCGTTCCAAGTCCACTTGTCCTGTGGCTGCAACACGGTGAAGGTTTTCCAAGCCTGGTTTTCTTTTGGCTGCCCAGTGTTGGAAGCTCCTCTTTATATATGAGGAATATCCCATTTTAGGAATACTTTTTGGAGAACAAGCCTACTTTCCACTACAAAAACTGAACCCAGGCAAATAGAGCAGCTTTCGACCCTTCAAACCTGCAGTCCCCAACCTCCAGGCCAGACCGGTACCTCTGTGGTACCGGTGGCCTGTTAGGAACCAGGCTGCACCACAGGAGGTGAGTGGTGGGCAAGGGAGTGAAGTTTCATCTGTATTTACAGCCATTCCCTCATCACTCACATCACTGCCTGAGCTCTGCCTCCCCTCCACTCCTCAGTGTCTTCCATGAAACCAGTCCCCGGTGCCAAAAAGTTTGGGGATGGCTGCTCCAAACCAATTCTTGCTTTCTT